CTTACACACCAGGAGTGTGCCGTTTGAAAAAGCTACATTTTACCAAAACCTGTGCCCCAACATTATGGACGTGTAATATTAAATCAGTGGAGTTATCTTTAAGTCATTAGACGACATGCGGAAAATCAAGCAACTGTTTTGTTCAATGTTAAAATAATTGGACGGATATCATCCTGCTGCTCTATTATGCGACTGTCAATTAAATAATGGTGGGCTAATAATGGCAAAAATATTGTTTGTCCTTCGTCAAAATGCCAACATGTTCTTGTTTACAGCTTTTTATACACCAAGGACATTCTGCTTTTCTCAATTGCAAACAGTTAATTGACAATATCCTGGTAACTTTTCAATGTTAACCTTGGCATTTTTCACAATTTATTCTGTATACTGAACAACTACTACTAAAAATAATAATAATACATTAACTTATTATAAATGACATTTATAAGTAGCCGCATAGCTCTATTCTATCTAACAAGCATTATTCGTGCCTCTCAGTGAACTCCAGTCAGCTTTGTTTTATGTCAGGGTGCTGCAGTGATCATGTTATTCCTCTCAGTATATAGCAGCAAAGGAAACATGTTGTCAACCCCCTTGCCTCTTTCTCTCTCTGCTGTCTCCCTCTGTCTCTCCCACTTCTTCATTGCCCATAGCCTGAGGGAACAGTTGGCTTTCTGAATGCTCTCCCCCCTTTGTGAGCACACATTGATTGGCTCTCCGCTCCCCCAAAAGCAGAGCAGCATGGGGTGCCGGCAGCCAGCTTTCTGCTGGTGCTGCTCAAAAAGAAGTCTGCAGGAGAAAAAAAAACAAGGGGAGGAAATCATCAGGAGGCTTCAACACAACCTGTCTAGGTATGTCTGTTCCCTTTTCCTGCCTGCCTCTCCCACTGTAATGAGAATCAATGGGGTTTAACACATTTCCCTCTTGTCTTTTTGTCAAATATAGAGCAATAGTCATCTCCTGTTTACAGAGCCCTTGAGGAGGGACACACATGAACCTAAGGGTCTTGGTAAGATGAAAGAACAAAAGCTGTCGTCTGCAGCTATAATTTAAGTCACATTTTCATGTTTCAGCGAAACAAGAAAGTGGAGCAAAATATGCCAGCACAGCTCTTGGACATCGCAGTAAGTAGACCCTTGAGAGGCCACCAGCACTATCTCTCTCCATATTTTCGGACATACCACAGAGCAGCATGAGCTCTCTGTCCACGGCAGAGGAAAGTGTGCACTGTGAACACATTTGGACTGGAAGACAGCCAGCGGTTGGTTGGTTGGTTGTGGAGGATGTGGGCTGGTTCTCTGGAGCCTGTCGGTTGTCCATTCATAAACCAGGTGGGAACTGTAAATGAAAACACAGACATTTCTCCTGCCTACACTTTTCAAAGATCACATTGTGCTGTTTTATGTAAGGAGCAGCAGGATATATGGGTCCAGCATCAATGATATATAACTCTCTGAGAGGGTTTTGATTCATGTGGTAAATACTTTCTCAAGAGAAGAAAATCATTTGTGGAGAATATTTATGAAATTGAAAATGTATCAAACTTATTCAGATTTAACCCACAAAAGCAGACAGCATCATTTGTTTCCGTGTCTACACGACTAACTAATATGGTGTCCATTCATCTTCATGACAGCCATCTGGCCGACAACCTACTACAAGACAATATGAGCTTGTATGGGCTGTTATACTGAAATGTAACAAAAAGAAAGGAAGTTTCATTGTGATGCTTTTCTCTTGGTGAAATACAGGCAGGGAGACACTCTGAGTCATAAGTTAACCCTGTCGACTGAAGATGACGTTTATTTGTCGCTTCCTGTGTGTGTTCAGGTTTACAAAACATGTGATTAAGGTTGGGGGAGATTGTGGTTCATGTAAATTAGAGAACCAACCAATGGTGTCACAAAGGGATGTATCAGAGAAGATTGCAATATTATGTTGTGGCTCGACACCTCAGGCAGACAAATGTCTTTAATTTTCAGGTTTTGGGCTTTCTTGCTTCCATAACATCTTAAATACCTTCTTTTTTTTTCATTCTACTCTGTCATTATGGATTTCTCCTTAACCGTTCCGTCAGTAACCAATGAAACAATGTCTTAATAAACATACATCAGCACTAATTCTCTTTTTGCTGCCATGTTCTGTTTGTTTGCAAAGCCGTCCTATATGTATGTAAGCCGCTACTGCTTCAACTGCTTTTAATAACTGCTTGTCCTTTTGCAACCTTTAAACGACATGCCCTGTTTTTCTTTGCCCTGATGTATTTCAGGAAGCCTTTTTAAACTGCAAGCCCTGTTTTTGATTCTGCTTTGATGTATTTTAAGAAGACTTTTGTAACACCTGGGCCAGGGACTGCAGATGAAAGATAGCCTTATGGCTAATTATGCTTTTGTTTTTTTTACCATGTGGTTTATTAATTTGCACTGTCAATGACTAAACTCATACTCTCAAACAACCTATTAAGATGGCAATCTTCCATATTTCTAAGAAGTGCTTTGACTTTGTGATTAAGTTGCCACAAGTGGGGGCAACTGAGGGAAACGGCAGAGATGGCATTTCATCCCTAAGATAAACCTTCCAGATAGTTATATTTACATTGTTAAGAGTCAAATACAAGTACAACTCTTAGATCTGCTCAACATTTCAGTCTTGTTCTCAGACTCCTTGACCCAGTTGTGAAAAGGAAAACTCCGATCTATATTTGGGGCGGTGTGTCTCGCGCTGGCAGATGTCAAACCGTTTTGAAAGAGAAGGTGTCACAACACGGTTATCACAGATCTGACAAAGTGATCCGTTTCAAAACAACCCTGTAGAAGAGTCGTGGAGTTCATCATGGTCAATTATTCTGTAAAAAAGGTGACAAGTATTGAGAAATGTCAATTATCATGTCAGTTTTCTTCCTGTCATGAAGTCCATCACATGCTAAAATGTTTATGGCTCTACTGACAATTTCACTATACATGACATTCCCCTGAAGAATACTGCTGGTTCTTCCTGCTGAGTGTAACAATCTGAAGTGACCTGAGACAAATTGGTGAATGGGAGCTATTTCAAGCTACTAATAGGAGACAAATTAGGAAGTCTTATCAGCGAGATCACCAAAAAAGTGGCTGTATGGAAGAAAAAAAAAGATCTAAACTCCTCCAACCTCTTACATTTAATTTAGAGGATATGATTACAATGTTTACATTTTGCCTCATCCTCAAAATCGATTTGGGCTTTAAAAAGTTTTAATTGTAAGGACAAATTAGAATAAAAACATATTTTGCTTGTGCACTTTAGCAGCTGCAGACTCTAAAGTAACTTGGCTGATTAAACGTTAATTGGAACAAATCGTTACTAATTTAAGTATAATTTGAGTTTATATCTGTTTGCCAGTTTCTTCTTTGTTTCCCGTACCTTAAACATAGTTGCCTTTCGTTTAGATGTAAGCTGTTTTTGCTGCACCTTGCAACAATCCCCCATTGACCGTGCAGGGCTTTATTGCTTTATTTAATGAACAGCTCAATAAAATCAATGGGGCTTTGGTATCCTGTAATCAAAAGTTTGTTCCTGCCTACTGATGCAACTGCTGTGAGTCACAATTTCCTACATTTTTTTCAATCTCCGTTAGAGGGAAATATTCCCATTAGCCAATTTAGGGATGGCTTACAAGGCTGGAACAGGCTGAAATCAATGCTTCCTGTCACCTTTTAGCAGGACAAATGGCGTCTATTGTTCCAGCATATCCCTCCCCCTAACTTAGACAGCTGGGGTGGATACACAGGCCAGAAAGCAGGGGCTCGGAGGACTCCCCAGCAGAGTGGATCACTTAGGATGACTTCTACTGTAAGGGTAAAAGCTTCAGAGCGAGAAAACTCCACTCTGACCTTAATCACAACCCAACTTTAGAGAGTCAATCACAGCAGACAGGGTGGTGTGTTTCTAACTTCTGACATGGGGTGCTTCCAGACAGGCCACAGTGGCACCATCAGGTCGTGTGTGTGTGTGTGTGTGTGTGTGTGTGTGTGTGTGTGTGTGTGTGTGTGTGTGTGTGTGTGTGTGTGTGTGTGTGTGTGTGTGTGTGTGGACTGGAGTCTGGATGCTGCTTGGCACAGTCATGGCTCCTTGACGTCAGTGCTCAGCCCAGACTGCTGCTGCTGCTGGTGCTGCTGCTGATGCCGCTGCTGCTCTCAAACATGTCTTTGTTATTCAGGGCTTTCCATCAGAGAGCGGTGAACTGCAAAACACGGAGGGTGGCAGTCTGCTCCGAGGAGGATCATGGGAAGGCAGAGCGCAGGCGTGAACATGCTCTAATCACTGTATGGCTTTAATAGGCTGGAATGAGAGCGTGTGCGTGTTTGTTGTTGTTTAATAGGCTATCAAAAGCATTATAGCTTATGTTAACTTTTTAATTACTTGATTTGACAGTAAGCTGACAACCTGTATTACATATGGAAATCCCAGTTAATTTGAATAAAGATTCACGATTCTAAATATCCTGTTTTTTAATATCAGTACTTCATGATATTGTTATATTTCTTTAGAATGTTTTTGAAGTTTGACATTTTTTGCAAAGATTAAATATATTTTTTTTAAATATTATTTTTTATTAGTTGTAGTTTTATTTGATTTAAAGTTTTTCGAGTTTTTAAAAATAAATTCAAATTCATATTTGTTTATGACTGACATCTACAAGTGTTGAATAACCTAATACATAGCAGATCTCTCTTCAATACTTTGTTAAATTATGTTAAATTATGTATCTTTAAATTGCAATAAATAACCATAATGCGTCGTTAAGTTAATTGAATCAATAAAGAGACACCAAATAAAAATACCCAGCATGCCTTATTTCCATTTTAATGTGTTAGCCCACTTGTCCCCACTGTTTACTCGCCTTTTAAAATCCCACCAAATAAAGAAGAATGTGCTACCAGCAATAGACCCGGATGGTTCCTCCACATAGGGAGCGGGTCTCAGTCAGCAGATGGCCGCAGAGCTGAGCCTCAGTCCGGCTCCCGGCTCTCTCCTCATGGCTTCTCCGCAGAAAAATCCGCGACACATTTTGTCAGCAGCCACCGAGCATGGGTCCCTTTGGTAATAGAATAGCCAATGTAATTTGACACTTCAACTTACTGCGCTCTCTCCGAGTCTATTCAGTTACTCACCCACTGACGTTGAGCCCATTCTCAGTGGCCGTGAGGGGGGAAGATATTTAAAAACAAGAGCCGAAAATTACCGAGGACTTTCTCCGCTTTGTAACCCGGTGAGTAACTGCAAACTTGCCTGTTCTCCGGTGTGGCGCTTCGAGGCTCTTGTCTCGGGAAAGGTTTTGTTTCCACTTTGGCTCAGATTGTTTCTCAACAATAGAGTGACCACTTGAACTGGCAGTGAGGAGCACGTCGGAGCCCGTGGTAATAAACGGCAGCTTTATATTTACTATCACGCTGCTGTGTGCCGTCGGGATTGAACCGGCAGGTTGTGCATTTCGTTAGTAACAGATGCCGCGTTGATCTCCAAAGCGTTGGGGCTTTGAGGCTACATTGTAGCAGCCTGTATGCGTTTTGCTTGCAGAATGAATCATGCCGCGGCGTGTGTGTCTTTGCGTGTGTGTGTGTGCGTAAGGTAGCTCTTGCTTTTTACCTTTTTGGATGTGCACAAAGCACATGGTTTGTCTAATGTGTGTTTAACGCTGCTACATGAAGGCTGCAGGAAGACAGTGGGCATTTCAAGAAGACAGCGGTCTCTGCAGCTGCAGCGTGGATTGTTCAATAAATGTCATGTTAAATGTTTATTTCTGAAGTTTGTTAACAGCAGCCCATGTGCAAACTATTGAATATCAGTGTATTTATGTCACAGTCTGGAGTTATCTTGCTGCTGTAGCTTCACTAGGGTTTGACAAGTTGACTCCCCAAATTCCTGCTGCCTGAATATGGAACCAGTTGGGGATTGAGGGGGCCTCTCATGTAGACCTGGACTCATTTCCACTTGCTGTACATCTGTCCAGGAAGCAAAATGCATAATCAAGTCGAAAAAAGTAAGCTGCTGCCTGATCTGCCTCCTAGCCATTGACAGTGAAAGAGAGGGAGTGTGTTTCTGTTGTATACACATGCTGCACTGTACTTCTGCTTCTACAAAATCTTGGGAACAAACAAACAAACAAACAAACACGTGCAGATGTTTATCATCTTTCTCTTGTGAGATGTCCAGGAGAGCCCTTCCTGTTTGTGTTATGTTGCTAAAAAGTTCATTCTCCTCTCGTTTGCTTTAAAGGCTGCTGCAGCATCCAAATTTGTCCCTCGCAGCAGGCAGCCTGTTTAGACCCAGCCGCTGAGGGTCACGTAAAGCTTCTGCGGTGACACCAGTTATTGAGCAGCCTTGGTTGCTTGTTTACATTTTCATGTCATGTAATCCTAGGGTCTTGTTGGGTTGCTGCCTGCAGCCTTCTGAACTGAAGAAAACTTTCAGAAACGGTCTCGATGCGATGTCAAATGTATAAGCTGCCTTTGTTTTTGCACCTGATAATTGTTCTCTTTATTTATTCACAAGCACTTGATGGCACATTTGTAAAGCTGTTTGAGTGGGGAAACTCCAACGTATACTTCATGGATTAGGGTGATGTCAGAAGGAGAAGGAGGTTTTTCTGCTTTTTCTCCTCCGTTCCAGGCACCCCAGCTCTGTGAGGCCCCCAGGTTGGGCTCCTGAATAACCATGGGGCAGACCCCACCAGGCTGACCTTCTTCTATTCAAGTTGAGGATGTTGAAACACCAGCCGTCAAACAAAAGACACATTGAAACAGAGATCTGCAACCCAGCACGTGTGTCTGGGCGCTGAAGTAGACCATTTATTAACTCTGAGTTTCCTCCTGACCAATGAAAAGCGTCAGCACACAGAGAGGCAGAATTTAAACTGTAAATGGACGCCGAGCTGCTTCTGACACAGATCAGTGAAAACACAACTAAAAATAGATGCAAAAACAAAGCTTTTTATTTTTAAAGCAAATAGCGCCGTATATCCTTTTAAAGCAAATCTGTGTTTGTCTGGACTGCAGCCAGTCTGTGTGTGGCTCTGTGGATTGACAATGGCAACACGTTTTCAGTGCAGGGTGGGAGTTTTTCTGCTCTCACCTTTCCCCCCCAGCCTGCGAGGTGAGAGTAAAAGCGGAAGCTAGAAATGGCTGTGCCACATGGGAAATTATTCAACTCTCAGATCAGAGAGGACACACAAGAGGCCTCATTACTAAGCCGGACAACCTGTGAGGAGAGCTGATGTGTCTGACACACACCTCTCACCTTCTGAAATATTATCTGTATACTGCATCCCATGCTGCTTTTGTCTTGAAAAGATTCCCTGAACACAACACAGTGTCAATTGGCAAATAGTTATGAGATAAATGCTGTTATGTGAAATATTTTTATTCTATTTCCTGTATCAAACCCTCTCCAAATGGTTAGTATCCTTTTACCAACAATGTGTGCTTAAGCAGCGCTGGTAAAAAAGGGCTGTTAGATGGCGGATAATGTCATACTGTTATTGATTCTTCTTGGGAATTCCACTCGCAGCGAGCAGCTCCTGCGTACGGAGAGCCCTCTTAAGTACTAACAGGAAAAAGGCGACCGAGTAAGAAAGCGACTGCTCTTCCTCTGCGGTCAGAGCCTGTGGGAGGTTTGTGGAGGTTTCGCTCAAGGTCCTTTTTGTGTTGTCTTTGCTCGGGAGAATAAACTCCTGGGATGAATCACTGTGCTGGTATGGCAATTTTCAATGAGTGAAGAGAGAGCAGGGCAAGCGTGGCGCTCGCCGTACAGAAAGTGTGTCAGTGGGCGGTTGTAGTAGCTTAATCATGAGGTTTAGTTTGGTGTCAAACAACACTTCGGTGTTAATAATCTTAGAAATGTATTACGTGAAGGAAAACCCAACTCTTTCAAGGTTTATTTTAAGAATGCAATATCTTTGGCAGTGAGATTGTTTTGGATTACTAGTGGTGGAAACTAACTAAGAGTGTTTATCCAAGAAATGTAGTGCTATTTTACACCACAACTCCATAACATTTCAGAGTGAGATATTGAGGTTTCTAACGTTTGTATTAAAACTATGGTTGGTGGTTATTTTGCAGATAAAGATTCAACATGAAAAACATATGATAATGGTAAATATGTTGCACTTTTATGTATTGAACATAGGGCTGCTCGATTATGGCAAAAATCATAATCACGATTATTTTGGTCAATAATTGATATCACGATTATTAAATACGATCGTTCATTGACTTTGAAAACATCCATTTATTGAACTTTAAAACAAATACAAATAATAATTTGAACAGTATCTTTTTAACTGTTGATTACCCTGAACGTATAATTCAACTGATAAACCAATACAAAAATAAATGATATATTTAAATTTAAATAAATAATATCAAAATAATAAATACCAATAATCAAGATCAAGCTACTAAACATATATTTATATGATAAATAAAAATAAATTAGACCAAAATCAATTAGATCAAATATGTTGCAGTGCACAACCTACCAAAGCAAAATTATCTTTTTTCGATTATGTTGTTTTCGTATTTGTGGCAGGCCAAAATTGTAATTGCGATTTTAAAATATGATTAATTGCACAGCCTTAATTGAACATTTGTTTCCAAACATTTTTGACTAATGATCCTTTGATAAAGACAAGTAAATCATGCACACTGTCGAATACTTGTAAAGGTACTATATGTTACCGAAAACATTCCAATATTTCCATGAAGCTTAAGTAGATTTGATGAAAGTCAGTCAGTCAGAATGAAATGATATAATGGTAAAAACAAAACACTGGTTAACCTACCTCCACTTTCATTCACAGCATTCAATTGTTGCTTACACAAGTCATTTAATGTACTTAAGCATGTTTCTCTGTAATTTGACCTGTAGTGTAGGATTTTTACATTGTGGTAATGCTAGTTTTATTCCAATAGGCATCTGAATACTTTGTCCACCACTCAAAATAACTAAGAAAGCATTTCGTCAACATACCACCGAAATCTTCCCGCATGTGTTATTCTGCATTCCTCATGTGTGTGTTTTTAATGATTTGCGACGCTCCGCCTTGGTGACACGGAGCTACAGTAACATGTGTACTTTCTGAGCAAGATACCCACCGAGGGGGTTTTATGACGATGAGGCAATGGCCAGACTGTACCTGTCAGATTGACTGTTGACTGTTAATATGAAGCTTCTATTTTCAAAACACAGCTCAGGGAAAGGGAATCTGTGTCTGTCTGTCTGTGTGTGTTTGCGTTCATGCAGGAGCGAGATACAGAGCGAGGGATGGGAGAGGTGCTGGGAGTGACGCCAGACCACACATCATTTAATCATGTTAGAGTGTGCAACCACTTTGTGCATATTTTTGGTTGCATTGGTGATAGGAGTTGTTATTGTACAAACTGTACGCACAGAGAGAGAGAGAGAGAGAGCTTGACAGGAGGGATGAGGGTTTGACGAGGAGAAGAAATACAACCCTTATTTGAGGTTTCGAGATTTGTCAAAAATGATTGATTTCAGATTTCGGACCAAAATATGATAATAAAAGTCAGATTTGTGTTTCTGCAGCTTGTTGAGAAATGTGAAGCAACAACATTTGAGACACAGAGTTGAGCCTGTGGAAGGATGACCATTGTGCATATTAGCATTGGATTTGAACGTGTCCTTCTGGCTTAATCCCACTGTTGACTCGCCTGCTAAATACTGAGTGTGTTATTTTTGCTCTTTTTAGGGAGCCCCTCTCTGCATAATCTCACTTAATCTAATCTATCCCCCTTCATAATAGACTGGGAATGATGTGACTTTATAGAAAAAGCTTTAGTGTAGATCCATACCAAACAGACTTGTGTGCCGGCTACTTCCCATACCCCTCTGGCAAAGCTCTTGTGAAAATGCAAGTGACCTCTGCGCCCCTTGTTAGTCTGAACAATAGGCCTGCCTCCTCTTACAGCTGCAGCCATGCTGGAGGGGAAGTTAGCCGGAACAGAAAACACACATCTCGTGATTAATAGGTCTAAATACTGTATTTCTGGCTCGATCCCACGCCTACTTGGTACACCACTTCATTTCAAATATCAATTATGTGAAAGATTGAGGGCTGCAATAAATATCGTGTCTAGAAAATGCCAAAAATACCCGTTATGATTTCCCATATCTCAAGGTTATGTCTTTTTAAATGTTTTATTTTGTTTTGTCTGAATAACAGTACAAAACCCAAATATATCAAGTGTACTA